ATTTAAATTCCGATAAATATTGAAAAATCACTAAGTCGACACATAAAACACTATGGAAGTATATGAAACACATGATAGAGATGTATAAACACAAAACACATATGAAGCACATACAAAACACATGATAGAGATGTATTGGAAGAATTGTAGGAGAAAAGTGAGTTTTGTGTGGATGTTTGAACAAATATATAGGTATTTATAGAGTTTCTGGGTGAATTTTGAGTAAAATAATTTTTTTTAATTATTTTAGCCGTTGGATTTAAATTTGAGCTGTTAGATCTTTTTTTTTTTTTATTTTTTTTTTTACCCTTAAATTTGATTATATTTGATCTCAGCCGTTGAATTCAATATTATATAAATATAAAACTAAAAAAAAAGGTTTGAATGTGGACCGTTGGATGAACCAACGACTCACATGATTGTGGCCACTAGATCATAAAAGAGTCGTTGGGCTCAATTACCCATCAAACATTAGGCTAGACAGCCCCACGTGGGTGGGCCAGAGCCCCTGAGTCGGCCTAGTGCATGCGGCCCGTGGCTCGCATCTGGGCTGGGGAGTCAACTTTAGTTTCCTTTATCCACATCTTTTGGGCTAAATCTTGGCTGGTATTTAGGCTTTTTTTTAGGTTCTAACACTTAAACTCAATTTTAGAACAAGGGTTGGAAAGATTTTTTTTTTTTTGGGGGAGGGGGGGGGGTGGGTAGGGGAGGGGGGAATAGAGGGGAAAATTTTAGGACTTACTCTAAGGGCTGGAGTTGGTCTTAGTGTCTCGATGCATGCAAACTGTAACAAACATAAAAATAATAACAACACATCAGAAATGCAATTGAAAGCAACTCTCAAAAATAATAAAAATGACCATCTAATATGGGCTATGAGGATTATCATGCTTTCTGACACACCCCGACCCAGAATGTCCACTTGGACTTTGAATCGAGCTGTGTTGGCCGACACCAGGAGGGTGACGAAGCCATAAAGTGTAGTGAGGTCAAAATGTGAGTAAATTTAAACCTAAAAGTGCCTAAATGTAAGAGTGCGCTAGTGAGGAGGAATGAACCCATTCCACACGTGATGTTAGAGCATAAGTAAAGTACAGTAGAGTAGATTGAGAAACAAAGTTTGCCAAGAATCCTCGTTGATACGAAAACTCATCTACTAAAACCTGAGGGGCGAAAAACAAGAGTGAGTGGGCCTAAAATAATGTTTTGTAAAAACCTTTTCGAAAAATGTAATAACCCCTCACCGTAAAATAAGTATAGTTTCCAAACATAACATATTACATATAGTATGAATATACTTACCATAGCCTGCAATATATTAGGAAAGGAGAAATTAGATTCTCATTCTTCCTTTTGCTATTCCATTGATTAAAATCCTATCCCTTTTCAATTTTTGATCAAGGTCCTTGGTTTCAGTTTTTGATCAAGGTCCTTGGGTATTAATAACATCATTAATTATTTCAATAATAAAATATTGTTTTATTTCTAAATATATTCATTTAATGTTAAAAATGTTACAATTAGTATATTTATATTTATGACTAAATTTTTTGTCATATATTTTTAGTTTTAGTTTTTACCCATTTTTAATTTATAAATCTTTTTCAATTTGTACCAATTTTCTTTTTAGTTTTAATTTGTACTCATATATTAATTTCTTTTTGTGCCCATATTTTTTAAAGTTTATTTGTATTTGTACCCATATTTTTATTTTTTGTATTTTATTATTATTATTTTTTTTGCTAAATGTACCATGCTAATTATATGTACCCATTCATGTAAAACTTTTTAATCTTAAGATGTACTCATTCTTAAATATACCAATTTGTTATATGTAAAATGTACCTTTTTTTTTTATATAAAATCTATTCAATTTTTTTTAATCCATTTTTAAACATATATGGGTACATTCTTTTTTCTTTGATTTTAAAATGTATCCATGTCAAGTTTAATCAAAGAAATTTACTAATGTTATTAAGCCTAATATCATTTTTTTTTTTTTTTTTTTTTGTGATTTTGAAGAATGTACCCATGTTTATAATTTTTTTGGTTAATTTTGATGAATGTACCCATGTTTATACACACACACAATATTATATTTATACTTTAATATTTTTAATCCCACCAATTATGGTTTTGGGCAAAAACAAAGCTTTTCAAAATTATTTCATTCTCAAAAGTTCTAACCCCTCTCTGTAAAACCTGTATAATTTCCCAGAAAATAGAATATATGAATATATCGAAATCATGCTCAGAATAACAACATTCATAATTATGCCATGACAAATTTCTCAACATAAATTATAAGTAAACCAGGTGATATCAATCAATGTAAATGTTATGTTAGTCGGAGTCACCGAATATGACCTGTACGGCTGAATCTAGAGCTTGAATCCACATCTCAACAACTATACCTGCACACGAGTCGAAACCACCTAAAGTGGTCTATACGATAGGATTGGGTGTAAATAAATACGCTCAAGTGCTACGATCACGTGAAGATTGTGCAAATAATCGCGGGTCACCTATGAGTCGGAACCACCTATAGTGGTTTGTACGACAGGATTGTGCACCTAAATTGGATCCAAGATAAGCGTGTGGTGCAGGAGGTGAACATCACGTGAAGGACTGTGCCCTAACTCTAGGCGGGAGCACTAACACTAGGGTGCAGGTTTATGAGCTCTCAATGCATCTCACATAACCACTAATTCACAACCATAAACTATAACTTACCTAGCATTTACCTGTGCGTCCGTAGCACCAAACATACATATATGCAACTACTAATGCATAAATAAATAGGCAAACACTTTGCATGGCATTTTAAAACATATAAACATTCAATTTCATTTTCTAGGAAAAATTCTCAAGTATATAGGTATATACGGACAGCCAAAAGCCCACTCACTGGTATGTGGAAGGGTCGTAACCCCCGAGCCTTAAGTGACTGCGCTCGTCTTCAGGATAGGTCTCACCTATATGCGAAACAACTATA